CATACTGAGTAACTGTCAGCCTTCCTGCTGCAGGTTCATCAACTTCTACGAGGCAGTCAAGGTGAACTCGGCTGTCATTCACCTCATGGGCTTCTTGGTTCTGCTGGCAACTGTTCAGCTGTGGACACTGCTGCATCACAGCCCCCGGCTGCAGGTCATCGGAAGAACGCTCACCAAAGCCTGGGACGAGGTGGTGGGCTTCCTGCTGGTCATTGTGATCCTGCTGACCGGCTACGCCATGGCTGTGAGCCCCCTCAGTGTCTGTCTTTCCTGGGTGCTAGGGTCTTGGAGTCACTTTGCTTCCCTTAGAAAAGATCACTATATGGAAAACCATCAGTTCAAGTTGGCTCTGAGTTTTGGAGAAAAGAACTGGAGTAAGAAAAGCTGGGTTTGGTTGTAGTTCCATTACTTATCAGTAGTAGGACTTAAATTCACACATTTGTCTCATCTCTAAAATGGGGATAAAATTTAGCTCACAGGAATGAAGGTCAAATTTATATGAAAATACTATGTAATTGAAAGGAATTTTATGCATTTTTTTAGGCATAGTAACTGAAATGGCCACTAAAGAATTTCCTTATTCCTTCATTCTATGTTGACCTCAGCGTTATCAAGCGCCCGAGGCAAATAACTGCAGTGGCCTCCACTGCTCCCCACCCCTGACCTGTCTTTCTTTTCAGTTTAACCTGCTGTTTGGCTGGAGCATGTCTGACTACCGAACTTTTTTCAGCTCAGCAGTGACTTTTGTTGGTCTCCTGACGGGAATCTCTCATTATAAGGAGGTAAAAAATTTAAATCCTATTTTCCCTACAGACCTCTATTTGGTTTAATATGCAAGGTTGGGCAAAAGTAGGTTTACAGTTGAGTACAGGAAACTATTATTTCTCAAACAACTGTAAACCCATTTTTGCCTCATCCTGTATCTAACAAATGCAGCCCTGCTATACCAATGCACATTGGAAAAGGGAGAAAGAGAGATCCTTTGCCGTTCTGGTTTATGGTACCACTGATGTATACAAGCTTTTGGGTGATCATTGTTTCAGAAATCTGCCCTTTCCTAACCACATAGTCCCACATCTCACTACTTAATCTTACTGCCAGGACACGGGGAGTGAGCTTGTACTCTAGGACCTGGTCAGATTAACATGTGGTTGCTGCTGCCTTTTCAGTGGCCCTTTATACTATGGAAAAGACTTAAAAAAAAAAAAATTAGGGCGGTACAATTCCAGAGGAGCTGTGACATTCTGTTTACAGTTAACAAATACTCATTTCAGAGAGCCTATTATTCCTCCCCAGGAAATACCAATAGAACCCCTTTCCATTCAGCATACAAAAGTTAAGTAGGAAACCCAGATACGAATTTGGGTCCAAAGCAAAAGCATATATTAGATTTGATTAGGGAAGGGAAAACTGCAATTCAAATTAGTGAAACTCACAAAATTTTCATCAAGACTTATCATTCTGATAATCTAGATTTCAAAGGTTACTAACTAAAGTGGACAACATAGTTTGTAACGTGGAAAGTAGTCGTCTCCCTAAGATGACTGTTTTGGAAGGACTACTTTATTGTAGTCCCAGCCCGATCACTCACTAGTCCACAGCTCTGGAACACTTTCTATACTAAAGGTCTTAAAGAACAATCAGAATTAATAAACTTTTGCTAATACTTTTTGACATTTTTCTGTTCTAATCATATTATATAATGTGAAGGTGCAAATGAAGTTATACTTATTGGGAATAGTCTTATATAAAAAACTCAGATAGCCCAAACTTGATATAATTACCCAATTAAGTAGCTGACAGGCTGGTACTAGGAAATGTTTTGACATAAATTTCCATCATATTTAGTGTAAGCATTCATCCTCTAAAGTCGTTGGTCTTTTTCTAAACATTGCCAATAATGAAGGAATCAATACCAAGGCAAAACATTTATCAGTACTGAAAAATCAACATTTGATTTGTAGGTTTACAGTTGTAAATACACGGAAGTTTATTATCAATGGTTATATGAAGTATAAACCTACTTTTGCCCACCCCTGTGTTTTCTGGAATTGTTAGAACTCACATGGACTTTCAATCATTTTAATTTTGCAACTTACCTGCTTTCTTCTTGGAAAGCCCTGAAGAGACAACTGTTTTTACAACCTTAGAGTCGGTCATTCTTGCTCAAAAGTATTCTCCTTTTTAGTAGTTTTGCTTTGCTCTCTAGTTTCTACCAGTGCTTCTTTTGTGAATAAATCCCAAATGTTAGCACAAAAAGTAGAAATCAAACTGTCAATGTTTAAATTAAAAGTGTTTTATTGTCTTTCCAGATTATTGCTTTAGACCCAGTCCTGGGATCCTTTCTGATCCTCACCAGTGTCATCTTGATGCTACTCGTGATCATTAACCTTTTTGTTTCTGCCATTCTAATGTCCTTTGGTAAAGAAAGAAAGTTCCTTAAGGTAAGTCAGTCTTCGGGTTGGTAATTTTATATACAGGTTTTCCCTATTATCCAAAAGTAGAGCACGTTCATGTAAAAACTTTCAGAAGCCAAACTGGCATAAAGTATAAAAGCAATTACCATTAATTTAAATGGGAAAAAATTTTAAACTTTCCCAGCCCCCCAAAAGTAGCCTACCAAGTAATACATCAAGCCTAAAACAGCACTAACATATGGCAAAAGCCGATATAATATACAGCTTATATAAAGAAAAAAATAACAGTTCAGTGTGCACTACTTCTGTAATAGCTCACTGCAAACACTTCCTGTTTCGCCTTTTTCATAAAAGCAAGTCCTCTTCCGATATCTTTGGTTAGTGAAAATAGATACTAACGTACATCTTCCCTAAACGTGAAGTGGTGTACCGTGGCGAATACCTGTATAAGCCATACCATTTTATACCGCTGGAAAAGCTCAACTGTAGCTGCTCAAGATTACAGATGGTCAAAGTGCACAATATCAGCAAATCCCCTTTATTAGTCTCCACAGCTCTAACTATTTTCCTAGGAAACCCAGTTTTAGTCACTGTCCTCTAAGTAGCTGACCCTCAACTATTACACTAAGCAGCAGAAGCACTCCAATGCCTACCAGCAAATCATTAAAGGGAACAGTATCTTTATGTTACTTCTACCTTTGATACTTTTTTCCTTCAATATACTCGCTTTTCCCCCTTTGTCCTCTAACAGACTTGGAAAGAAGCTACACTGATGGAGATGCTGCTGCAGCAGCTCTCGGGTTGGTTAGGAATCCAGGGCACCAGAACACACGTGAGTAAACAGCTGTGACAGTCGTGGGCACTGGCACTGACGTGTTAAAAGATGAACTATCTTAACCCTATTCCCCACTAGAGAGTACTTACTTTTGCATGGCGTAGCTTAGAAAATCAGATGTTTACAATACATTTTGTTAAATTTTGTCAGTAAGGAATCAAAATCCCCTTCGCTGAAAGTCCTTGTGTTTATGATCTTGGCACTGTTGGAAAAGGGTTAACACTGCAAGAATGAGTGCTCATTTAACTGGCTCTGCTGCTGCCCAATGAGTAACAGAACACAGTGTTCCCAGAGGGCGGCGGGAAACACCAGTCAGATGTGAGCTCACTGCAGCTTATTAAAAATAAAGACGCAGGCATGCCATCTGCCTGAGGGGAGCATTTCTAACACCTTCTTCCTTGCCCTGATTTAATTAGGTCCGGGAAGCCTCTGCAGAGCCCCAGCGGAGTAACCAAGCAAACTCACAGACGCTATCTGGCCTTAAATACTGAGACAGGTTCCTTACTGCTGCAGGCATCCACATTACCCTGGGAGCCAAAGGTAAGGTCTGGCTTGTGCCAAGCATGAGTTACAATATTATTCAACTTTGCAACTTCCTATTCAACCCAACCAGTGGAGAAAGCAGGTCAGAATTTTTAACTTTATTATCAGCTACCAAGGTATTAGATACAAACCAATCAAAAACATTAAAGAAAGGTTGCTTAAGACAGGTATATACAGATATACTACACAGAAGCCAAAGCCTTAGCAGCCGATCCCTGTGGGAAAGGATGCCTTAGCTAAGGGGCAAAGAAGCATGTTAGCTACAACAATAAGAGTATTGTCCATCAAGGAAAGCAGCAAACACCTACAGCCACATGGGCACCAAAATGTATGAGGCTAGTTTTTAAAGGTTCTCTCAATCAAAGTTTTCAAATGAAAACAGGAACCCCTCTTCTCCTGTAGGCTTTTCAGCTCACTATTCAAGAGACTTGAATACTTCTATTAAGGCAACTGGAAGCCCACCTTAGCATTGAATGGTGACTTCTGCCTTTCCTTTGTCAGAGGGCAGCACTGGATTGTATTACTGATAGAAGGGAAACAGCCCTCAAAGCCAAAAGGCCACAGAGGGCTCCCTGGGAATCCAGTAGAACTGAGAGGCCTTCAACTTTCCAAAAACCTTTCCAGCTGCATCCAGGTGGAACACTGCCCTGCAGCAAGGAGTAGTGTATATGCCAATGAGAGGACCTAGCTTCCAAGAACTGTTACAGTGGCTTCCTGAGTCATTTTTTCTCTCCCATTCATATCAGAATGAGAAAATAGACACCTTAGCCTTGATTCTCTCTTACCACAAATCCACCTGTACTAAGTCTAGAACTTCAGCAGCACAGGGCTGAGACACTTCATACGTACTCTCTCCCACAGCCCAGCCATCTGTGTCAGCTCTCCCTGCCAGCCTTTTCCTTCTCTCCCCGCTGGGGATGGTGGGACAGGCGAGGAGAGCCTGGGTTCACACTGACAGAAAACAGACAAGCACGGCTTCCAGAGTCGGCTGCTCCGGACTCACAGTGTCTCCAGTCATTCATCTCTTAGGAGCAGTAAGGAACTGGAAAGCACCACAATTTGGTAGAGCAGGGAGAGAGCCCCTAGGAGGAGTGTGCTCGGTGATGGTTAAGAGATGAAACAGAATTTCATGGAGATTCTTTGTTACAAGGAGAAACTTCTCAGTCTCAACTCCCAGGGCTTGGATGGTGCCTGGAGAAGGAGACCTATGTTTTCTTTTTCAACTCTTCAAATCTCCGGGAAAGATCATCAAAGTCAATGTCCTCAGATGCCGAGGTGTTGGCACCAGCAGATGCAGTTGGTAGTGTATCTGGCACGGACGGCAACTCTGGAAGGACAAAGTTGTCATAGGTGTCCACGGCTTTTGAAGGGGGCTTTGCAGAGGCTTCTGGCTTGGGTCCCGGACCTAATTAAATTAGGGCAAGGAGCACAGTGTTACAAATGCCAGAAAGGTGGCTCAGAGCCATAGTCCTCTTTGGCAGGAAAAGAACAAAACAAATACAGTATTTTCTTTCTAAATGATTTCTTTCTAAAGGTAAATTCACAGAGCATTCATTTCAACACACTGTCCCCTTTCACAAAGGCCAAAGTCTGGACTGGTACCAGAATTCTGTTGAAGTTATTCTTTAAGGCTTATTAGGAAACTTTTTTATAAGAAATGTTAATGTCAATCCTATTTGATGGAATGGGGATCTGATCTGTATTTCTAATCTCCATTTTATAAGTTAAATATACAGTAAATAGAGAAGGGGGTGATTTTTATTTCTATTTATATAAGTCCAGAACAGGCAAACCTAAACTACAGTTCTTGCCTTTGGGGTGGAGTTGACTGAAAAGGAACAAAAGGGAACTAGCCTAGGAATGTGTAATGTGTAACTTTCTTAGGTAGTGGTTACATATTATGTGTGTATAGACACACATGTAATATCAAAACTCATTAATAATTATATAATTGTATCTACAGAAATTATGTAAATACAACTCTCTAATTTAAAAATATATATACTCCCTGTGGTTTTCTAGGGTGCTGGTAGTGGTTTTGAATAAATTCACTTAGCTATTTGCTTATAATTTGTGCCTATTCATCCCTCCTTTTAATTTCCAGGCACAATGGAAGCTGAATCAGCAGGAATATAAAGAAGTTGAAAAATAAAAATGTGTGAAAAAGAAACAGGAAACCTGTGAGATTCTTTGGGGCCAGGAAGATTGTTTTCCTTTTGGAAGAGGGAAATCCTGAGTTTTGTTTTTGCTAGACTGCATTAGGAGGGAGGGCAGGGCATGTGGGTTGAAGTCCATGTATGAGAAAACAGCAAAGGGCTCAGCCTTGAGGGTTTCTAACTCAAACTTACCAACAATCTGTGCAGAAGAGACATTCTTATCAGCATTACTATCATCGGCCTGAAACACAAACATTGTTACCAAAGAAAGCAATGGCATCACTGAGAAAGTATGGATACATATATAAGCCACTGTGCTGTCCAAAGCTAAGCTGCTCAGCGAAAGCATCAGAACCTGCCCCTCCACTCCTTCCTGATCTTCAGATAGATACCAGGTGATATAGGTAACATGTTGAAAACCAAATGAAGAAAAAGGAAAATCTAACCACAATGTAACACCTCTTTAATCTGATACCTTCACCTTCCAGGCAGAGAAAGCACTAAACCACTGACTTCATCTCCAAGTTTTCAAATACTGATGATCATCTACCTCATTCTTTGAAACAGCTGTGGGCAATGCTTCAATGCATGCAAGACCAAAACATAAGAAAAACTCAAGCCCAAGGTAATATAACCAAAGGAAAGAATATTAATCATTTCCACCGCAAACGCCATACCAATTTGTTTTCTCAGTTATGCATCAGATGGAAACAGCTTTCAAATGACACATACCAGCTTCGGCCAGTTTTGCTCCGTAGTTAAAAGCATTGGGTCGTGGGTTTGATTCCCGGAAAAGGGCACATACCTGTTACAGGTTCGATCCCTGACCCCAGTTGGACATGTGCGAGAGGCAACCAGTTGATGTGTGTCTCTCCCTCCTCTTTACTCTTAAAAAAAAAAAAAAAAAGGCACATACTGGCTGAACAAACAAGGATGGCAGAAAACAAGTTTTAATTCTAAACCAAAGCTGCTACAACCACCTACAGAGTTCAAAGTATCGAATAGCCAATTACAGCAAGTTTTAACCACAGGACTAAAATGTAAAACTAATGCTACAGGACACTTGTGTGTCAGACAAAAATCTGGTCACTACTGCTTTACAAAGTACTGAGAATTTATAAAGCTGGTAGTTTATTATATTCTAGCACCAAGACTGTACCAGCTCCAGTAAGTCAAAAAAAGACGCTAAGCGCCCTACTAGAACTTTCTAAGATCTGCAGCTCCCTCCTCCTGATCCTGGCTGAATTGCAGACAAAGCATTACCACCAATGATGCTGCCCCAGCCACCACACCCCATTCCCAGGATAATGTAAAGCAACACAACCCAAAGCAAGAACAAGGCTGGAACTAGAGTTGATCAAAACTTTGCCTTCCCTTTGGCCATTACTTCGCTTTCTCTTCATTGGATTCACTCTCCTGCTGCTTATAAAAGAGGCTCAGGCACTTACAGATTCATATGACGGGGGAACTGGTATCTGAGGTGGATGAACATTGGGAAAGGCCTGAAAAGCCCCCATTGGCAATCCATTGAAATCCGACTGCAAGAGGAGAAAGACAACATCAGAGACACTGCCCCCAATTAGCAATTTTCTCTGATATATATATAAATACACTCAGAAGGTCCTCAAATAATGGCATTATGTTGAATGCCATAGGAAAGTAACTCTTGTTTCTATCAATTAGCCTATGGTAAAATTGGGTTTCATAATACATCATTTCACTTAAAGTCACAGAACTATCAATGACATTAAATAAGTCTTATTAAACTCAAGAACTCCAAAAGAAAAACAAAATACCCAGATTTTTTAATATATTTTATTGATCTTCTTTACAGAGAAGAGGAGAGAGGGATAGAGTCAGAAATATCAATGAGAATCATCGATCAACTGCCTCCTGCACCCCCCCCAATGGTGATGTGCCCACAAGCAAGGTACATGCATGCCCTTGACCGGAATCGAACCCGGGACCTCAGTCCGCAGGCCCACACTCTATCCACTGAGCCAAACCGGTTTCGGCAGATTGCAGATTTTTAAAGATCTGTAGCCAAAGGCTATTCTGCAAATTACTAAATCCATTGCTTAGGGGAAATTATTAGACTTTACAATAATGACCATCTTGTCTACAAAAGAGGTTTTTCTATTTGGTAATAAATGATTGTATTGCTACTAATCTGGCCCTAGCCGGTTTGGCTCAGTGGACCTGAGGAATGAAGGGTCCCAGGTTCAACTCTGGCCAGGGGCACATGCCACAGTTGTGGGCTCATGCAGGAGGCAGCTAATCAATGATTCCCTCTTCCTCTAAAATCAACAACAAAAAACTAATCTGCAGGCAACAGGTCCCAAATGTTTAATTAAAAAAAATAAACTACATTAAGATGAGTTTTTCTAGCACCCTCTCTCCATATTTTTCTACTGCATTACTTCTAGCCGAAAGAGAAAGCTTTCTCTAAATCCCAATATTTTTTACACAATGTGACCATTGTTAATATTTGTTCTTATTGCTAAATCCTCTTGACAATCTACAACTCCCAAGTATATTCAAGAGCCAACCTGTCATTTTCTAGAGCCTATATCACATTTATTATATGTATACTTACTGGTCCCTTTGGAAGTGGGTATGAGAAAGGAGTACTCGGAGATGGCATGGGCATAGGCAGGGGCATGGGCACTGTTCCATCAGGTCCACCAACGGGGGCTGTGAACCCGCCCCCACCGCCTCCTCTTCCAGGGCCCCCTTTCTTCACATCATCTGTGAATCCAACATCAATAAGATCTGTCTCTACTCCAGGGGGCGCTTCTGCCTGAGAAAGAGAGAAATTCATATCATCACCCCCATCGCAGGCCAGGTTACCAGGAAGCAGACTCTGAGACGGAGATTAGCATGAAGGAAGTTACTAGGGCGAGCACTTGTGATAATGACCTGTGGGAAAGTGAAGGAAGCAGGGATGGGTAAAGAAAGAAGGTGGGCTATTACGCAATCAAAGGCTTCAGCCAATTCGCCAAGGATCTCTGGAGCTAGGTGGGGTGACCCTACAGCAGATGTCCCCCACTGTGTCAAAGAGGAAGTGCCTTTATTTTAATTTTTTGTTAGATTTTTAAAGAGTAGGGGGAGAGACATCGATTAGTTGTCTCCCGCATGCGTCCTGACTGGGGCCAGATATTGAGCCTGCAATTGAGATATGTGCACCTGACCAGAATCAAACTCATGACCAAGCGGATGCTCTATCCACTGAGCAAGACCAGCCAGGGCGAAGGGAAGTGTCTTTAAATCCCTGCACCAGTTACAGAATACTGGCCCCTGGAAAGACTGGGTAAGGAAGCTCTCTTCCGTGGTCACTGCTTGGAGGGACACAGCTTTGTGTGAAACACCAGTGACCAATACTCTCAAGAGCTGGGGGATTACATCTGTTCTGAAAATTTAGGGTGGGTATTGTCTAAGCAGCATACCAAAGCCATCTGCTAAATTTCATTGACCTTAACTGCTGGATGGTAAGTATTGGCATATTTACCCTTCTTACACTGGAAGTCTCTTTAGGACAGAGACCTCGTTTTTATGCCTCTGTATTAACAGCTTTCTGTGCATTGTCCGGCATATCACAGGAATCTAATAAGCATTGAGGTTTGTACTTTTTCAAAGTGCTTTCAGTATTCATTTCATCTGATCCATCTGAGATATGGAGGCACAATTTTTACCCAAAAAGGCACTAACTGGGCAAAGGTTTAAACCTTCAGACACAACTGCAGGGTAAGGAATACAGTTAAAGAAAGTGCTATCTAGAGACTCACTCTTCTGAGTACTCTGAAAGGCTCTAAACTCACCATGACCACAGAGTCAGGCTCATAGGGCACATTGTAGTTCTTGGCGATTTCAATCAGGTATCGCTCCACCAGGATTTTGGGCGGCGCTTCCACACTCAGTTTGTGCATTAGCTGTGATTAAAGACCAGGGTTAAGATGCATCTACACCAACAAGCCACGTCTAACCTGTCTCACTTTTACATTTTGTTCCTCTCATTTTATAGGAAACCGAGGCAAAAAAAAAAAAAGGGGGTTCAGACCAGTTAAATGATTTTTTTCCAGTGACAAATTATATTACAAGACCCAAGTCTCTCTCACATTCTCTGGTTATATAAGACCCAGGTGTTGGAAAAGACTGATACTGCTGCTTTCCACGTTTGAATTCTTCCACCCTTCTCCCAACCTCATTTCTATCTCCGCAAATTATAAAGGGCACGAAGAACAGGGGCAAATAAGATATGACACAGAACAGCCTCACGAGTCAAGAGATGTAGGGCCAAGGTAAGGAGTGGACTGCACTGCCAACCAGAAAGCCTTCCTCCCACTCTCACTATGAGATGTGGAACCTAGATTAACTCTACCATCTAGTGGTAACCACTGGATCACTGCAGGCAATAAATTTACCTGCCCCCACCTTGCCCACTGCTTCATGTTTAACAAGTCTGTTCCTTACCCTGTCATTCACAGTTCCAATCTGGTTGGTCCTACATAACTTGCCATATTCCTTGCTATACTTGGCACACAGTTGATCAGCAACCTACCAAGAAAAAAGAACAGTAAATAAAAGTGGAAACTATTCCTATAGATTGCTTCAAGCTTTCTCCTATCAACAGTAAACAGGCTTCTATTACAGGACATCCAAAAAACCTGGGTCTGTAAAACCTTAAGGGGTACATACTAATTAACTTATTGTTTATGTATCTATCCAATGAGCTGCAAACTATATGCAGAACTCTAGAATAAGCATTATGATATACACTATAAATAATGATGAACACCACCAGACACTGTTCCTACTCTTAGAGAATCTTACAGTCCTCGGGGAAGTCATTAGTCAGAATCACACAGGTAAAGGTACAAATGCAGCTGTGAAAAGTGCTACCAAGGGGAAGTATACTGTACTATGATAATAGTACAGGACCTGATATCTAAAAAAAAAAAAAAAAGGTAACTGGCCGAAACCAGTTTGGCTCAGTGGATAGAGCGTCGGTCTGCGGACTGAAAGGTCCCAGGTTCGATTCCAGTTACCTTGGTTGCGGGCACATCCCCAGAAGGGGGTATGCAAGAGGCAGCTGGTCGATGTTTCTCTCATCGATGTTTCTAGTTCTCTATCCCTTTCTTTTCTTCTCTGCAAAAAATCAATAAAATATATATTTTTTTAAATATATATATTTTATTGGTTTTTTACAGAGGAATAGAGAGTCAGAAACATCGATGAGAGAGAGAGACATCAGCTGCCTCCTGCACACCCCCTACTGGGAATGTGCCCGTAACCAAGGTACATGCCCTTGACCGGAATCGAACCTGGGACCTTTCAGTCCACGAGCTGATGCTCTATCCACTGAGCCAAAACGGTTTCGGCTAAAATATATTTAAAATAAATAACTAAAAATAAAAAAAGGTAACTGGGTGGAGGGCACACAATACAAAATACAGGTGATGAATTATAGAATTGTACATTTGAAGCTCATAATGTTACTAATCAATGTTGTCTTAATAAATTTAATTTTAATAAAAGTCAAATAAGACTTCCAGAAGACACTTAACTAAACGAAGGAAGGAAAGTATTACAGAAAAAGAAAACATGTGCAAAGGCCTCTGGTGGAAAAACAGGGCCAATCAATCCTCAAGCCAGAATAAGTCTAGTGCAGAGCCTGAGGGAGGAATGTGGTAGGAACGGAGAAAAGCCAGTGTGGGCCGGGCCATGTAGGCCATATAAGAAGTTTTGTTTCTATCACAAGCACAACAGAAAGATACCAAAGAGCTTTAAATTAAGGTGCAGTGACAGATCAGATTAGTGTTTTTAAAAGAACCCTCAGTTGTTCTGATGTAATGGGGAACAGAGTACAGAAAACCAAAGCAGATATAGGAAGAACATTCAAGAAGTTACTGCATAGTTCAAGCAGGAGATGACAGGGGCATTGGTCCAGAGTGGTCCCAACACCTGAGCTCACTGAGGGAGCACTCCCTGTCCAGAATGTAGACTTTCAAGGGTACATGGTACTTCTCAGTTGTACTTGTCATTTGTCTTTTGATTTTTGTTTTGCTTTATATTAATGTAGAATTTTTAAATATTTGCTTAATTTATCACTCTGTTTATGGCTTTTGGGTTTTGTGGCATATTTAGTTATGAGATTATTAATCTACCTAGTTTTCTTAAGTTTTTATGGTTTCATTCTTTTAAAGAAATGTAAATCTTTGTTTCATTTGGAATTAATCTATAACAGTAAAAGGGTAATATGGTAATTAGACTGGACATCATTCTGGACGAAGCCAGGGCCGGAGGGAAGCCTGGATTCTGGGTGCCAGAGGGAAGCCAGTGCTGGCAGCGGGGGGAAGACCTGCTCTTGCACAAATCTCGTGCAGCAGGCCTAGTCTTAACATAAAGGAGAAGTATAGGAGAGGCTAAAAATGAGGTTAAACTGGAAGCAGCAGTTGTCACTGCAGCTGTCAGAGAGGGCTGGAGGTTGGGTAAGAAGGGGGAAGGACTTCAATAAAATAAAACAAAAAGATGGGAGATAATAGATCAACCAAAGGACTTGTATACATGCATATAAGTACAACCGATGGACACAAAACTCTGGAGAGGGAGGGTATGTATGGGGGAGGGGGGGGCAATGTTAAAATATACGCACAGATAATAAAAAAATGTAAAAGAAGAAAAAAAGACTCATGGACACAGACAACAGAATGGTGATTGCCAGAGGGAAGGAGGTAGAGGGGCAGAAGAGAGGAGATAGAGGAAGGTAAAGGGGGGAAGGGGAGATAAATAATGATAGATGACTTGATTTGGGGTGGTAAACATACAATTATAAGATATCAGATGGTGGCCGAAACCGGTTTGGCTCAGTGGATAGAGCGTCGCTCTGCAGACTGAAGCGTCCGGGGTTCGATTTCGGTCAAGGGCATGTACCTTGGTTGCGGGCGCATCCCCAGTGGGGGGTGTGCGGGAGGCAGCTGGTCGATGTTTCTCTCTCATCGACGTTTCTAGCTGTCTATCTCTCTCCCTTCCTCTCTGTAAAAAAATCAATAAAAAAAATATTTAAAAAAATATATATATCAGATGGTGTATTATACAATTGTATATCTGAAACCTATATATTTTATTAACCAATATCACCCAATAAGTGAAATTTAAAAAAAAACAAAAACAAAAACCTGTATGACTATTTTCCCTAACATATCAGAATACAGGTTTACTCTCTGGGGAGGTTAAACTAAAGGGACTCTGGACTCCAAGCAGAGCAGGGAGCAGAGACACTTACTGACCACAGAAGAATTAAGAGAAGAATGAGACATTTGGCTTCCTTCTCTCCTGAGCTCTCAGAAATGCTGACAGCCAGCTTATACGGTCCAGGTGTAGGATTCTCTCTAAGGAAAATGACCAACCCAAGGAAAGAAAACTAGTTCTTGACAGTTTCTAACTCTCTATCCCTCCCGTTCTCTCTGTTAAAAAACAATAAAATATATTTTAAAAATAAAAATAAATAAAATTAGAAGAGAAGGACATCTCAAAAGATGGGTTGGTAGATAAGACTGAGACAATCTTAGAGAAAATAAAACAAGTACACAAAGATGTAGAAAGAAAATAGGGAGAAAATAATTGAACTGTTTTCAATTGAGTCAGTACCATATCCATGTTGTGGCAGGCAGTTTTTTAGTTAATGTCTGTCTCGTCTGCTAGACTCAAACAAGTGCAGGGCCCATACCCTATTTTGCTCACCATTATACCCTCAGTGCCCATTAGCACATAACATCAGCTCAACAAATATTTGTGAAATGAATGAATGAAGCAAAACACCTAAAATAAAATTAACGTTGTTTTAACTTTACTGGTTTACAGTTGCATAAGAACTTTTCTTTTTGTATATACTTAAATAACATTTGTCAAAAAATAAAAAATGGCACCACTTTAAAATGGAACCAAGCTCCCTCGCTAGGGAAACTGCTTTGCACGTGCATGCCTCAAATCTGTGCAACGTTAAACCCGGGCAAAATAACCTTTGGGCTGGGCCCAGGGCAACAGTGTGTCCCTAAGAACTGCTTGCCAAGATAACAAGAAAGGTGTTATTATGGACTACTGAAATGAAAATTAAAAACATTATTTAGAATTAACAGCACTGTTATCTGCACCAATAGAAATGCCTTCCTTCTAGTGTTCCCCTTCCCCTTCTCATTTATATCTACTGCCTTTGTCTCTTAATTGAAACACTATATGGATTCTGCCTGAATCAGTGAATCCCCAATAGCTATTCTTATTGATCTCAAATAAATGCTTATTGTCTCTCACTTTGAAAGGCCTTTTTGAAATTAACATAAAAATAAAAATAATTTAAGACAAAACGGAGGGTACATGAAACTTTGCTCCTTAAAAATAATTATTCAAGTTTGCAAAACACTCTTCTATGATATAAGGCCTAAAAAGGAAGAAGCACATTTATAAAGTCCATGTCAAACGCAGCATGAGAAGGGTACAAAATACTTGGTCAAATGAACAGAAATGGCTTATGTTAACCAATTTTTCTAATAAAGTAAAAACTACAGACATCACTGAAACTGGTTGTACTCACTATTTTCAACTCAGCCACTTCGGACTGTAGTCGAGGAGCAGCCCAGATAAGGGTAGACACAGATTCAGCCAGACCAGAATCTAGCTCTCTAATTAAGGAAAAAATTAATAAAATTTAACATTCTTTAAAACCAACCAACCACCCTAACATCTGTATGAAATATAGTGATATAGCCTCTAAAGCTATTTAACTTTTCAATAACTCTGAACTTCTAGCCATTTTCTGGGAAAACTAAATGATGCACCCAAGATCACCAAGTCAGGAAATGGTTCAGCCATTTCAACAGTTGTCTCTATGCTGAAATCAGGCTTCAATAATAGGAAAAAGGCCTTGGGTATGAAACAGTCCCTTAGTGCTCACCCTAAGGAAGAAAACCAATATTACCTCTTCTCAAATTCCTGAGGTGATTATATTTAGGTCTTTGATCAGAATATCTTACTCATTAAGGCTATATGAGTAAGTTCTAGAAATATGTTAAACAACTGTGCCTATAATTAACAATACTGTATTGTGCTTAAAAGTTTTGTTAAGAGCCGAAACCAGCCGAAACCGGTTTGGCTCAATGGACAGAGCGTTGGCTTGGGAACTGAAAGGTCCCGGGTTCGAATCCGGTCAAGGGCATGTACCTTGGTTGCGGGCATATCCCCAGTAGAGGGTATGCAAGAGGCAGCTGATTGATGACTCTCTCTCATTGATGTTTCTAACTCTCTATCTCTCTCCCTTCCTCTCTGTACAAAATCAATAAAATATATTTAAAAAAAAAAAAAAAAAAGAGCTGAAACTGGTTTGGCTCAGTGGATAGAGGGTCCCGGGTTCGATTCTGGTCAAGGGCATGTGCCTTGGTTGCAGGCATATCCCCGGTGGGGAGTGTGCAGGAGGCAGCTGGTCGTTGTTTCTAGCTCTTGTCCCCCTTTCTCTCCCTTCTTCTCTATAAAAAAAAAAAAATTCAATAAAATATATGTTTTTTTAATTTTGTTAAGAGGGTACAGTTCATGTTGTGTTCTTACAAAAAAAAGAAAGGGAGGGATGGGGGAATACAAGGAAACTTCTGAAGGTGATGTTTATTGCCTTGATGTGGTATTTGTATATAGATATATGCATGTGTTTGCATTAATCAAACTGTATATATATTAACTATGTGCAATTTTTCTATATCAATTATACATCAATAAAGGGGGGGAAAAAACAAAGAGCTTACTTCATAGACTGAATGAGGCCAAACCGGGCCAGCAGAAGGTCACAATACAACTCCAGGATCTCCATGGCTTCCACAAGGTAGTCTTCCCGTATAATGTGCTCCACTCGGATCCGAGCTCGTTCATCTTTCCCAGCAGCCAGATAGTCCGCAATCTCTTTCCTTGCTTTCTGGGCCAGTTCCGCTAAGGCACAAATCCCACTCCAGTCACACAGCAGTAGTGCACTGGCCTTGGCCTGCAGGCGGACCTCCACCCCACCCGAGACAAGCAGCTGTTTCTACTATGTCCTAGCTCATTCCCTTAGCAAATCTAGTCTAGAATTTGCTACTTTGTCCAGGTGAGAATAGTGTTTGTGTACCCAGAAATTTCAGGAGCCATGTTACCTATTCCATAGCAATGAAGAGATTCAATCTAACCAGATGTACCTAAACTTAAAGGATACAGGATCCCTAAAAGTCCACAGTACTTAGCCTGAAAGAGCCAATATTGGGATGCTAGAACCCAGGGATGTATTTTGGAAAAGAAAAATATAAGGCAATTGTGCATTACTCACTTTTTTTTTTCTCCAGTAGTTTAAGGCGGTTTATGACTAATCTCAAATTGACTCGTAAACGCTCAGCTTTAAATCCAGAGCCCAGCATACTGTGTGCTATTCCTCCTGGAAAAAAATAAGAAACACAATGACTATTTTCAAGTTAAAATTAGTTCAGAAACTAACACCAGTTAGAGGGCAGATTATTTGACACTATAAACTAGAGTGGTTTTCTAATACAGGCAAATGACATGATCTGATTCACATTTTTCAAAGATCTTTTTGGCTGTTATGTGAAGAACTGATTAGGAGAGGGTATTAACAGAAACAGACGACAAAGGAGAGGATATTACTATATTCCGACAACAGATAGAGGCAGCTTAGATGGGTAGTTAGCAGTAGTGGTGGAAGAAGGGATCAGACTTAAGGCTATTTTGAAAACAGAGCTGAAAGAACTTGCTGATGGATGAAATGAGTACCTATGCACTGGTATAGGACAGGGGTGATAAAAAGACAAGCAGGAAGGCCTTCTAATTCTCCCAAAAATCTCACCTTAAAACTGAAAGCTTTGCCTCTAAGATCAAGAACAAGAAAAGGATACTCTCACCACTGTTGTTCAACAGAGTAAAGAAGTACTAGTCAGAGCAGCAGGGCAAGAGGAAAAAATAAAAAGCATTCAAACTGGAATAAATAAGTAAAATTGTCACTTTTTGCAGATGGCATGATACAATATATAAAACACCAAGACTACCAGAAACAACAAACAAACAAACAAAACTGCAGGATACAAAAATCAATGTATAAAAAAAAAATCCCCTGTGTTCCTATGTGCTAACAATGAAATATCAGAAAAAGAAATGAAGGAAATAATTTCATTTGCAACTGCAACAAAAGGATAAAATAAAGAAACTTAACATAGGAAGAAAAGGATCTATACACTGAAAAATACAAGACATTGTTGAAGAAACTGATAAAGACCCAAAGAAACGGAAAGACATTCCTTGTTCATGGATTGGAAGAATAAACATAGTTAAAAATGGCTATTATTACTTAATGCAATATACAGATTTAATGCCATCCCTAAGGCATTTTTCAAAGAAATATAAAAAAAAAATCATCAAATTTGTATGGAACCACAAAAGAGCTCAAATAGCCAAAGCAATCCTGAGAAAAAGAACAATGCCAGTTAACACACTTCCTGGCTTCAAATTATACTACAAAGTTACAATAATCAAAACAATTTGGTACTGGCAGCAAAAACAGACACACACCAATAAAAAATAACTGGGAGCCGAGACCGGTTTGGCTCAGTCGGCTTGGGGACTGAAGGGTCCAGGGTTCGATTCCAGTCAAGGGCATGTACATTGGTTGCGGGCAAATCCCCAGTAGGGGGTGTGCAAGAGGCAGCTGATCGATGACTCTCTCTCATTGATGTTTCTAACTATCTCTCTCCCTTCCTCTCTGTATAAAATCAATAAAATATATTTTAATAAGTAAATAAATAAATAAATAAATAACTGGGAGCCCAGAAATTAGCCCTCATATATAAGGGCAACCAATTTTCAACAAATGAGCCTAAAACATACAATGGAGAAAGGAAAGCCTCTTCAATAAATGATTTTGGAAAAACTAGAAAGCCACATGCAGAAGAAGGAAAGTAGACTGCTATTTGACATCACACTCAAAAGGGACTAAAGACTTAAATATAAGACCTAAAATAATAAAATCCCTAGAAGAAAACATAGGTATTAAATCTACAGACCTTGGTGTCAGAGAGGCTTTTGTGAACATGAACCCACAACTGTACAAATTTCGTGCACTGGGCTTCTAATTCAGCCTAAAAAGGATGACACACTGCCATGGATGGATTCTGAGAGTATCATGCTCAGTGAAATAAGTCAGATGGAGAAGAACAAAATATATATATATGATTTCACTCATATGTGGGATAGAATACAACAAACATACAAAACAAACTCACAGACAACAGTATAGTGGTTACCAGGGGCATGCAGAGAGGTTGAAGAGGGTAAAGGTGACAGAAGGAGACTACACTTTGGATGGTGAGCACACAATTCAATATATAGATGATATAATTTAGAGTTGTACACTGGAAAATTATATAATGCTACTAACCCATGTCACCCCAATAAGTTTAATTAAAATTTTAAAATATAACCTTCCTCTAATTATTCAAATTATCAGCCTTTTATGGAAAAACTAGTGTCTCAGATCATAGGAACAGCATTAACATTTACGCACATGCAAAGAAATAAACAAAAGGGTAAAATAAAATGTCCAAGGGGGAAAAAGCTGTTCTATAAAATTTGACCACATAAGTCTATTTACCAAGACTTTAACTGAACAGTAGAGTTACAATCAACAAAACCACTCTCCTCTCCCCCCCAAGACTTTAGGTTATTCCTAACCAGCACAATTCTTATTTCTCTCAACTAACTCTGAACTTGAATCTCAAAATATGTAATAGCTCAACTAAAGCACATGAACAGTAGACAAACCAACCCGATATAAAGAAGTACACCAGGACATTAACTGTCTGCTTGTGCATACCACTAACAGAAAACAACGGGTGTATTTTCCTTTTGTGAAACTGTCTCCAAAAGCATTTTTTTTTTCTCCCAAAGTTTTTGTACTATATTTAGTAATTAACTGCCCAGCCAGCATGGCTCAGTGGTTGAGTGTCAACCTATGAACCAGAAGGTCACGGTTCGATTCTCGGTCAGGGCACATGCCCAGGTTGCCAGTTCAATCCCCAGTATGAGACATGGAGGAGGTAGCCGATCAATGATTCTCTCTCATCATGGATATTTCTCTGTTTCTCTATCTATCTATCTATCTATCTATCCTTCTCCCTCCCTTCCCCCCCCCCGTCCCTTCCACTCTAAAATCAATAAAAATATCTTGAAGTCCTATATAATAAAAGCCCAGCAATTGAATGGCAGAATGACCAGAACAATTGATCGACCAGTCACTATGACCCACACTGACCATCAGGGGGCAGATGCTCAACACAGGAGCTGACCCTGGTGGTCAATGCACTCCCACAGTGGGAGTGCCACTCGAATCACCGGGATGAAGAGCTGCTACTGCAGCAGGAGCGCGTTCATAACTGCTCGGCTGAACGGGATGAGCGGCACTCCCAGCGTGAGCCAATTCCTGCAGCCCACGCCCCCCACCAGTGCACGAATCCCGTGCACCAGGCCTCTAGTAATAATAATAATTAGCCAAGTCCCAGTACACAATAGCGTTTATATATCAGAATATCTGGGTACCATGATACTGAATTATGTACAATCCAGTCAAGAATGTATACTGATTATCTGCATGTCAAACAATGACTAGCTGCTGGAAATAAAAAGATAAATAAGGCAACACATATTCACAGATCTAAAACAAATACTCCAAACTTATACGGAACCACAAAAAAAAAAAAAAAAAAAAAAGACCCCAAATATCCTCAGCAATCTTGAGAAAGAAGAACTTACTTGGAGGTATAACAATATCAGATATAAAGTTATACTACAAAGCCCCCGTAATCAAAACAGCCAGATATTGGCAGAAGAACAGGCATAATAGACCAATGAAACAGAAAAGAGACCCCAGAAATCGACCTAAGCCATTACACTAATTAATATTTGACAAAGGAGGCAAGAACATACAATGGAGTTAAGACAGTCTCTTCAATAAATTACTGGGAAAATTGGACAGATACATGCAAAAAAAATGAAACTGGACCATCAACTTACACCATACACAAGAATAAACTCAGCCCTGGCCAGTGTGATATTTCTATATTGCACAAAAAGTGGTAAAATATTAGCTCTAACTACTCTGTGAAAAGTTAAGTATGTCTATTGTAACCTCTATAGTAAAATGTACTATACAAAATATATACTTAAAAATGCAACAGATTTTAAACTGGAACTCTAAAGTGTTCAAATAACCCAAAAAGGGCAAGGAAGCAGAAACAGAAATGAAAAAAGGTACAAACAAGACAATAAAATGATAGGCCTACATTCAAGTACATTAGTAATCTATAATTACAAAAGGGTAATATGCTAATTAGACCAGAAGTCCTTTCAGATGAAGCCAGGGTTGGAGGGAAGCTCGGGTCCCAGGTGCCAGAGGGAAGCCAGTGCTGGCAGCCAGGGGAAGAAAGGTCTACTCTTGCACAAATTTCGTGCATTGGGCCTTTAGGTATATAAATAATTAAATAGTCTGGTGTGGCTCAGTTGGTTGGAGCATCATCTCATACAATGAAAGGACCAGGTTTGAACCTGCAACATACCATCACTACCCCAATCCAGGCAAGGATGGGAGCAACAGATTGATGTTACTCACTCAAATCAATGTTTCTTTCTCTCTTCCCGCTCGCCCCCAATCTAACAACAGCAACAAAATCAATTAACATGTCCTCAAGTGAGGATTTAAAAAATAATAATTATGCCCTGGCCGGTTTGGCTCAATGGATAGAGCGTCAGCCTGTGGACTGAAGGGTCCCGGGTTTTATTCTGGTCAAGGGCACATGCCCGAGTTTCGGGCTCAATCCCCAGTGAGAGCCATGCAGAAGGCAGCCAATCAAAGTTTCTCATCATTGAGTTTCTCTCTCTCTTCCTCTCTGAAATCAATAAAAAAAAATTTTAATAATAATAATTATTTTTATGTTCGGCCTCAGTGGTAGAGCCTCAAACCATGAACCAGGAAGTCATGGTTCGATTTCCATAGCACACACCTGGGTTGCAGGCTCCATTCCCAGTAAAAAGTGTGCAGGAGGCAACCTATCAATGATTCTTTTCTCATCAATGAATTGTCTCTCTCCCCCTCTCTCGTCCTCTCTGAAATCATTTTTAAAAAATACTTAAAATAATAACTAAATAGAAATGGTGTAAATACAATTAAAAGACAGATTGTCAGAATGGCCCCCAAAATGATCCAAATATATACTGTTAACAGAAAACTCATTTCTATATAATAATATAGACAAAAGTATTTAAAGGAAAAAAAAAGTATATCATGCGAATTAATAAAAAAAGGTTGAAAGTATGTATCTTTTGACCCTCTCCACCCATTTTGGTACAAGCTTCCAGT